AGAGAGAGAGAGAGAGACAGGGAGAGAGACGGATGGCGGATTTATATTATGAATAAAATAAACGTAATTGAGCAGAGCTCACCTCTGACGTCGGTGCAGCTTTGCAATTAGTTTGTTCAGATTTAGCGTTTCCTTCTCCATCATTCTCAGCTCCGACTCTTTTTCCTGGAAGTAAAAATGCCGCTGATACGAAAGAAACTTGCTTATTTCTGCATTAAAATTTAAAATATTGCAGTTCTCTCGGACGTGCAAAGTATTCCTATCAACTCCACGATGCAATTATAAGTTGCAATGATGAATATAATTATATATAATATATAATTATATATTATTGACGATCATATTTATTGTTAATGCACACTATTTGAAAAATATATATTTTATATAATGTAGAATATATAATATATAATTATATATTGCATAATAATTATATAATTATATAAAATATATAATTTTCGAATAGCGAGCATTAACAATAAGTGTGATCGTCAATTTCATAGCAAGGCACAATAAATGAAAAAAGATGATATTATGTATTAACAGCAATTTAATTAAAAAATAATCATATTAATTCAATAGTAATTTTAACACATTTTATTAAAATATATTTGTTTTATTAGTATTGTTATTGAATTAACAAGATTATTTTTAGATTGTTGTTAACTAATACTGTTAATGCAACATCACTTTTTTTCAATAAAAATATTTTTTAACATGTTGACTGTCGTAGATAGATGACTTATCTATTTTTCAACTTTAATACATATATGTTACTTAATTAAATTTATTTTTATTGTAACAAAATTTTTATTTTTTTCTCTCCGAAAAAATCGAATTGGTCCATTTAGAGCATCAATTATGAATTAACTCGTATTTGGCAATCAATGCTTTAACACTAATCAACATTACAAATAATCAAATCATGGAATCATATTCCACGAATATTGCATTCCACGCAAATGAAAGGATGAAGCTTATAGTGAATTCGATTGAACGTACTAGTTCGCATTCAATACACTTGCCATTATACACAATTGTACAATTGTTCGTGTAAAAATAACTATCGAATTTAGTTCGAGTTTTGAAGCAGTTACTTTTGAAAGTTGCTCTGTAAAGACTTACGTGTAATATTTAAACAAATGAATAAGAATCAATATAAATAAAAAAATGTATAGATTATTTTTAAAATCAAGGCCTGAGAACCGCATAATGTTATTATTTTGCATAAAAAATAGTTTGCATAAAACAGAGAATATTTTATATTTTCTATGAGCCGGCGAGTTGCAAAAAATTTATATTGACGTCCCCGTGCATCACTGACATAACTGATCCATCATACTAATTTTTTCATCATTATTAGAATGATCAAAATGTCACTATATGTAATCATGTAGGAGGGGAATCGAATGGTTGTAAATTACATTTCTAATAAACCTCATAAAATCGAGGCATATATGAGGTGAGGATTCGAATTCGGGGTCGCCGATTACGAATCAACGTGCTCGCATACCGAGCCATTCGTACGCCACAGAATTATGTGATTATTAAGAAAAGAAGAGCCTACAATAGTACGTCTCTTTCACACTTATGTAACTCAGTAGCGTAACCTTTCTTAAAAAGCTAAGAGTTATACATTCATGTTTAATTAAATCTTTCTCAATACGAAGCTTTGTTAGCGGCGCATTTATTCTACACATCAATCTAACATCTATATACAGTTTCCGATGTGCCGTCGAACTGTTGGTTATCGGTATTTACCGTCAAAGTGTCCGTAACCGCGCGAAGCTCGTCCTGGCGAGATTCGCAAAGGTGACGCGCGGTGATCACCTCCGCGGTCAATCGTGCTAATTGCTGTCGGCAGTTCTCCTCGCGCTCCATCGCTTTATCCCACGCTTCTTCCCGGACGATCACGGCGTCCCTCAAAGTCCGCATATCCCTTTCCAGTAACTCAAACTCCGACCTAGTTGCATCGAGGGTTACGAGTTACAAACGCAAACGGATCCGCGGGTGGGAGGGTAGCAAAATAAGAAGAATTCACAATCAAGAGATTTTAAGTTCTCCTTTTTTTATTTAGCAAGCTTCTTAGTCGACAGAAATTAAAATAATTTAAAATAAAATTTGCGTGGAGTGACTTGTACGATAATATATCTATTGCAAAAAAATGACTGATCCCATATTTCGTTTCATGAATCTCGTATCAAAAGATTTATTGGGTGAGATACTTGGAATAAATTTTAAGAACAGGTAGTCACATTTTAATTAAAGATTAATTGATATTAGTTAATTAATTAATTGTAAAAAATAAACAAAATGATTACTTCCATGAATTATTTGATGCTATTAAAGTATTGTAGATTTATTGTGAAACTCCGCATTGAGACGAGTATTAGCTATCATGTAATTGAACGTTTGCGAACTGAGTACTTTCAATTTTTTTTATAACTCATCCATTCTTATTTATATTAATTCTATTTTGTATTGCTTGAGATGTTTAATAACTAAGATGTTCAATAACGTGATGCATATACTGAATTCACTCAGCTTCAATCTTGCTAGAGAACTTATTTACTTCGTTATAGTGATGCGGGTAAGCGATTCCCTTTGGCATCCCTCCAATTCTGCGTGACAGTCTTTGCAGGGTTCCCAAATTTGTAATCCGTAATCGGTTTTAGAAACTACATTCGTCGAAGAGGTGCATTTATTTTTTAGACATACCTCGTCATATTTCTGAAATTTATATGCAAGATTTAAAAAATTAAATTTTTACTTAAAAAGGCGTAAATTTTCTTACATTTTTATGCACACGAAACACACGAAAAACAATAATGAGAAACTTTAGAATTTTGAATTGCTGAAATTATTGGATAGTTTACGATTCATTTCTCAATACAACATTATTAGTTTAAGTAGCGGTTTTAATAAAAAAACTGAATTATTGTATATTAATCATACATTAATATATTGATTAAATCTTAATTTAAAAATTTATTAAATCTTAAGATTATAAACGAGAAATTATGATATAGTACACAAATCTTAAGAGACACGTTACATTTTTTATTAAAAGAGAAAATTTATTACAATAAATAATAGCATAATAACGTAATAAAATATCTAAAAACAATTATATTAATGTGATTTTAAGGAGATAAAAATTAAATTTCTAATACTATAATAAATACTTGTTTATCTTTCCCATTGAAAAATTCCTAATTATTACAATAATACAGTTATTTTATTCTTATGTGGGTTATCATTATTCTCATTATGCACTAAACATTGCAGGCTGAGAACAGCATCTCTAATATAATATTTAATTATATTTTAGAAATATTTTTTTCTTATTCAGTAGATATTATTGTTCCTACCATTTGTTTTGCTAAAACGTCAGCCAGCTTGATTCTCTCTTTATCAAGCTCGTTTTGCAACAATGATAAATTCTCTCGCAGCTTCTCCATTTTAGGCGCGTCCTCTTCTACCCTGCACATCGTTTATCTTGAGCTAGAGAACTTGTTCAAAATGTATTTGTCAAAACACGAATGTAATTGTTACATTCACGCTCGGTAACTTATTTAGCGAACACGCAATTAATCACGGTGAGAGATTATTCTCACCGCTTCGCCAGGTTCTTGTTTTCCGCGACGAGATCGCGATTTCGGAGAAGCAGCGTCGTGTTGCTGTCTTCCAGGAGCTTCAGACGAATTTGCATTCTCTCGATCGAGACCACCGGCGCCGATTCATGGTGCCTCGTCGCCCCGTACGCGTGTGCACCCGCGTTTCTCCCCATTTGTACTTTCGAGTCTGGAAACGGCGGATCGCCCCTGCCTAGGACGCGGGGGATTCCGTGCTAAATTAATATTCGTGCGCTTCTGCGACTGACACGCTTCGGGTCGCATTGTTCGAAACGTACGATTAAAACATGACCGAGGGACGGCGATTTGATTGCGTCGTATAGGTTACAGGAATTGATAAGTCGGTAAAGTCAAGAAACGAGTAAGTTCTATGATATTGATCGAACTTTCTTTCTCTATCAACCTCATAAATTTTATTTAAGTGAAAATATATTCCCAATATTCTCAATATTAGATTATTCTTATTATTAGATAATCCTTTTAATACAATCTGGCAATTTAATTAAATAATGAAGTAGCAAATAATAATATTGCGATCAAATTTAATCGGATATTATTAATACCCATAAATTAATAATACGATTAAATTATATTATTGTATATTTGATGAAATCAGAATCGCTGAGTATACATAAACTTTTGTTTAAGCTTCTAAAGAAAAAAATAGAATTTAAAATCTTTTCTATTTTTCTGGAAAAAAGTAAATATGTATATGTAATTTAATCGTTTTTAACTTTACCAAAATAATTATCAATAATGTTTATGTCTAAAAATTTTATCTTTTAATTGTTTACCTTCTCTAAACGTTTCATTATTATTTCTGCTTAAATCGGACGACTTCCAATTTGTATGATTCCCGGAATAACTCCCTGAAAGATAAATCAATTCATTCGAGTGCCTATACATAAAATAAACTGTCGAAACCAAGAAACATGTCATTCAAACGTATTCAATCAGAAGTATCTTTTGTGAGGAGAAAGGAAAATATAATGACAAAATTTCCATTTTCTAATATTTTTCTTAATTAGTTTATTTTTATCCTATTTCGTATATCTGATTTATATATAAAATTTCCACGTTCTAAAAATATATGATAAAATTAATATTTAACTAGTTTTAAAATTCTTCTCTCTCCATTTGGAAATTAAAAAATTTAAGCAATTAAATAAAACTCTTCTCATAAGAGATTCTGTTCTAATTGTAACATAAATTCTAGAGAGAATGCGAATTTTGCTTCTATATTCATTAGCCATATTACATCCCGACGTAATTGGGTTTTCCTTGAACTATAAAAAAACGTACTATTGCTGCAGACTGTCGAACAAGGATTTCTGACGGTATGAGACGTATGGCAGGTTGTCGCACAGCAGCTGTGAGGATACTTGAAGTCCAAGTGCAATCGATCTCGTTGCGGATCCATTATTCGATAACGAGTGCACGACATCGCGTTCTCGCCGATTGGAATGGCAAAAAAATCCCTTCAATCGCGATTTTTCTTACACCAATCTCTTTGAGTTACTCGCTATTCTGGAAAAAGGAATTCTTTCTATCTTCTTTTGTACTGTAACGCGTTATCATTTTTTTCGCGACGACGCGCCTCTCTCTTTTTTTAAATAGCTTTTGAAACGGCATAAAACGCGAAAACGAGAAAACGAGAACACGAAATTCACGTGTCGTAATTTCGTATTCGGATTAGCGGACTTCGACTCGCTCATTCAGCCGCTCCAAATTTATTCCGCCCAACCGGGAATAAAGCTACTGTCGCACTTTTGTCGCTGACGTTGACCGGAATGCTGACACCTTTTCTTCCGTCCCTTTTTCTTCACGAGCAGTAAATAACGATTACTGCGAATCCGCTGGTCATGGGATCGGCAGGTCCCCCCGCAGACCTAAACGACCGAGAATCCTTTCCCTCGAGTCTTCACATATTCCCGCTAGAGAGGATATAGGAACGAAAGGAATACGTTACGTAAGCCGCACTCGCCGCATGCTCCACCGTGAAATTTCATTGAATCTTTCACGTGGCCATTGGTTACTGATTTTCTGTGTTTCCTCTGTTTTTAATATTTTTCGCGGCAGAGTTCATGGCTATGTATTAATAAGCGAACTTGGCACGAGAGCGCTGCGAACCATTTGTTTTAGGAGAAACGATATTTTTCGCATGTAAATATTTTACAAATATCGCCTTTTATACAAATTACATATTATTTGCACTCATAAACAATTCACGTAAAATCATTAGATTTTGGCTAAGAATTGCACACGTGTTGAATAAGATAAAATGAAGAAATTTATAAGTTCAAGTGTTTTTCCGGATATGAAGAGCACGTAGATAATATCACCGAAATGAAGCGTTGCAGAATATTTCCGTGCAGAATGAGAAGCGTGAAACGATTATTCCGGCCACGTTTGACTTATCATGGCGCCGTTGGTCTTTACAGCTTACGATTATGCGGGCCGTAAAAGCAGAGGCAACGGAGGCAACGGGAGAAATTTTATTTCGGCCGAGCAATACACACCGCGCGTTTTATCCTCGCAATTTGACATCGTCGTGTAATAGGTATACGTTAAAGACGCTTACGCACGTAAACTCGCGTAAAATATGTACTGTATAATATGAAAAAAATTTAAGCAAATGATTAAAGATATATTAAAAAATTTAGAAACACTTGTTTTTATTTCGCTTGAAATTTGTTTTGTTTGCATATGTGATATATAATGAGCTGCAACGAAATACGCGTGAAATTTAATATATAATTCTGAGATCAATGAGAAACCCTAATTTAATTTAATTTAGCTTGAATTTCTGTAAAGTATCAAATTTAATTGACTGAAGTTGTATATGTGAGATATTCATCATTAATTACAATTTATAATTTGTCATTATAATAAAAACTATATTAAATAATTAAAGTATTCGTAATGTAACATACAATAAATGTTTAATCATATTATTTTTAATTAAAAGATAATTAGAGATGGGAAGAAGTAAGGCATTTAGAAGAGTAAAGTTTGTCGATCATATTATATCGGAATTAAAGATTGCATTAAATAATTTATAGCTTTATTCACTTTTATCTACAAACAGTATCCATTATCGATGTGCATACAAACAATGTCACATCGCGTAATAAATTATATCATAATAATTTATGTCTTTCTCTTTAACATGGTGTAATTAATAATAGAATTACAAGTACATACCAGTCTACATACATTTGCGCGTTGTAAAGATACATTACATACATATATATATATATATCGTTGTACTCATTGTACGTATAATTCGCGCATTGGCATGAAAATCTTAGTTCTGCAATACGACGAACAGTCAAGTGAAGGTAGCAACAGTTTAGGTTTTAAGGTATGAACGCGAGAATTTTCGAAATCGGCAATAAATACGATTGGCTAAATTAAATATTTACATAAATAGAATTGCACGCAACAGATCAGACGGAACATGTGTTGCCGCACATTGAATGAAAAATCTTGCATTCGCATCAAATCATCAACAAACTAACGAGAAGGCGCAAAGAATTCCTACAAAAATCAGTCTTCGCGAAGAATACATTGCATTACGATCGTAAGCAAGTAACAGAATGTTTCTTTTGTCTCTCATATACATGCAAAACGACCTAAGTTATTGGATAAATGTTAAAATATCGCGTGTAAAGCCACGCTTCTCGCGACTTACTCAGGCACTGCAAATAAAGTGTATACAATCATTCGGTCCATCTAATCTATAATTAGAAATGGTTACATGACTGGACATAATTTCTTATTTTTTTATGCCTCAGTTTGTTTGATTGAAATCTTCGAAATTTATCCTATATAGAGAATATTAAGACACACTGACGATCGAACAGTTATATTATGCTCATACACGCGCGATCATTTTCTATAGCAGCGGGAACGTAATAGGGACGAACATTATATGCTCGGTAATCGGATGCTCTTTTATATTACCTATACAAGCATCTCCTTCTCTCTAGTTATCATAAATATTTTATTTTTCCCATCATTTTACTGACGTACAAATCCGATCAATTTACCGGAAAAGTGCGTCGTCGACCATCGCGTAAATCATAAATGCGGAGCACTTTGTGACGCTTTAAACAATCATGATGCTCTCGCGAAAAGAATATATTACACATTAATATGTCACACGCCATTGTGCATGTATTACATTACGCAGGTGTGTATATATATATATATATATATATACCCGCGGTATATAGTTTCGTTCAGCTTGTTATATTGTACACATAGATATATAGACTTATGTACACGTATACTTTGAGCGTATTATTTTCCACATAGGCTGTTCGTCGATGGCTTTAGATACCTTTTATTCTGGTTTAAAAAAAAAACATTTATTTGTTTCCTTATATAAAAAATATAAAATTAATTATAATAGAATATATGAAAAATATATGAAAATTAATTTATTAAAAATAGAACAGAATTTTGTTAAAAAATATACATGCGACATATAATATGTATAGACAGCTGTTTAAAAATTTAAATTTGTTTTTTTTTTTGTAAAATATATTGTCTTTTTATTTATACATGCGGGATACTCCAGAATTTATTGCCTTGATTTTAATAACAGATTCGAGCAATCTTAAAATACGCAAGAAAGAATACTTATCATACACTCCCGGCGAGCAAATGAAATATATCGAAAGCAATCGAGGATAAAAGGTATCTTTGATAATCGATCGAGCCCGAAAAATAAATCTGTCTAATCTGATTAATAAATCGCATAAGTATAACGGGAAACACATACATTATTATCGCACTTCAAATGTTCCCCTTAATACTGATATCAATTATGATACTATTGACGCGCATACACAGTCATTTTAGACTACACACGATCTTACGACTATTTACACAGTAAATAGACTTCCTAATTACTGTAAATAAAAGAAGAATAGAAGAGAACAAGTTGCAGACGACGAGATGATCTATTTTAACATTCTTTTACATCGTCGTAATCAAGAAGATAAGTTCTGAGTTACAGTTAGATCCAGGCTCGCTAATACGATTATTGCAAGAATGCAATACAATCTATGTTACGGTGAAAAAATAGCTTTAAATAAATAATTTATGCATTTCTGAGATAATAACTATTTCGTTAAACACCAGAGTTGTATGTTATATTATACATATAAGTTTTAATTTGATCTACATTTATATATATTTTCTATTTAATTTAGCTTGAAAACGCGCGTAACTTATACATTGATTTTGGTCTTTCTCTTGAAACCTGCTCTTGTTCCTGCAAAAGGCTTTTTAAATTTACATATCTCTCAAATAAGTTTACGTATATCTCGTTGGAAAGAATAGATAAATAGTATATAATAGTGTATATTGTATACTAACATTATATATAAACATTTTAGGATATTGATTTAAATTAGGAACGAAATGAATAACTTGCACAGTTTTCTTGAGGTGCTTGATACACTTAGGTATAAAATTGTTGGCATTATTTACGACCTTTTTTAATAAATAAGAATTTTTAAGTGATTTTTAAATTCAGAAAATATAATATAAGTAACTGCACAATGACGAATTTACGATAGTGAATAGAATAGTTTGCATCGCACACTTTATGAATTTATATATTATAAAAAAAAAGATCTAACTTTATCAGTCCTTTGTTATTGGACGGTGCGAGGAAGTATAGGAGATTCATCGTAGATAATATTATGAAAAAGCCAGCTGTCTTTATATAACTTTCATTCGTTACAAAATTGAATCTCCTTTTCTCTTCTCTCTTTCTCTCTTTCTCTCTCTACTTATTACGTAATAAAGTACATTAATTTTATATACAAAGTATTTCAGAACAATATTTTTTCTATAAATTATAAATGATTTATAATGTATATAAAATCGATCTTCGTTAAAAGAAATTTTACTAAAATAAATTTGAAAATTTTTAACAAACTTTGACTTAAAATTTAGATTTCTTTTATATTTAATGATTAAAATTATTTAAGGTAGTACACTCGCGATAATACCGTCCAAAAGTTAGACCTCATTGCGCACTCGGTAGCGATACTTTCACTCTCGCCAGTGAGAGAAAACATTTGGTTACGCTTATCCATAGGCCGCACACGCGGAAAAAAATATTAATTTAAATAGACGCAGACTAACGCAGCGCTGCCTCCTTCACTCGCCTTCATATATGTCAATTAAAATCGAAAATTACATTTTTTAAGGCTCTATTTTCCAAACTGAACGGTAAAAAAAGTATGAATTTTTTTCACAATATTCGTTTCATGTCCCTTCATCGCATGCTCGTTTTTTATTAACATCTTACTGCAAACTTAGGCCCTACAAAAATAAACGCGACATTTTTATGAACTTTGTATAAGCGACACGTATAAAAAATGTAATTTTTAATTGCTTATATCTCAGTATTGAATAACGGTCAATTTCATTCTAATTGCACAAGTATGTCAACAACTTCTAGTACAACGTATAGTTTCAATTTCAAGAAATTCTATTTTCAATTCGCGAGTATACTATCTTAACGCAATATTTATTTGAATATATTAATAATTAATTAATAAAATTTCATTCTTTATTTGTAACTTTCAAGCTTAATTTGTAAGAAATTTTACATAATGTACATGTAATTTTTAATCGCTTATACTTTAGAAAATAATAACTTTATCACAAATGTATGCGAAATAAACGACGTTCATTTTTAAATTTCGTTTCTAGTATTTATAGTATCTATTTATAACTTTCGATAATAATAATAGTTCTGAGATATCCGTATACATGTCCAGACATACGTATATGTACATATATATTCTTTAAAAAATCAAAGTTATAAACGTTTGATGGATACATTTACTATTTTGGTATTATTTCATCTTTAATAAATGTAATCACTGACAGTTCTATTGAAATTGAAGGATTTTACAATTACATTTTTAATTCTTTCATTTTGGCTTCGACAAACAAAATAAGACTGTCATGTTATGTAAAACTTTATAGTATGAGATCATCCATTTATATTTTGTAATAATATACTTTACGTATAGAAATACATATAAAATGATTACGTGTGATTATCGAGTTAAGTAGACGTCAACTCAAGATTATCAATTGGATTATCAGTTAATCTTATTTCTAAATTAAAATAATTAAATTATTACGTTGTCGAGTTGATAGTCGCGCATTGGAAGTACATTAGCTTTTTGCAATCCTTGAAAATCGGTCTTTGCGAAACGATATATACATAAAAGCAATACGTTAAAATAGAGATCACAAAAGCGGAAACTTTTCAATGATAAGCTCTTGCATCACTTATTCGATTTTTCTTCTTTTTTTTTGCAAAGAATATTAGGGATATATAAATATCAGGAAAATCTGGCTTGGATATTTGGCCACTATATATGTATTTTTAAATAAAACTCTTTCCGGAAAATAAATCCGTCGATCTTTTTAAATTATTCGTAAGAATATTGACTTATGTTTATTTTTTCTGTAATGATCAATTTAATCACAAACGAACTATACCTAAGTCCGCTCCGAATACCGATTTATAAGAGGATATCAATCAACAAAGAAATCAGTACGATCGCTCTTTCGAAAATCACGATCTTTAAACCAGCGAGACCATGACGCGTTTTCGCGACGTAGAGTGCAACATAGTAAAGTGTCCGCTTCTGCGGGAGGAATGGGCCGTCAAAGACGTCGTCACGGTCGTTCTCGTGCTGTTGGTCGTGGCTCCGGTACCGAAGCAGTGATGCGAATTCGTCGGGCACCATCCCGAAATCCAGGAGATTGCCTGCATGTTCCTACCGAGCAACAATTGCTGTTTAACGGAGAAATTCCGCGGCCAAAAGCTGCTATAGGGAAATGTTGCCACCGTCTCCGCGAACATTGCTTCGAATGTGTAGAACTTAAGGCGTTAGAAAATCTACAAATTCTATAACTATTCTGATCGATTTTACAAGACAGAATTTTACCATTAAAATTTTAATATTATTTAATATTAAACGTTTCTTTGTAAGAATTTACGTCTCATATTTAAATAATAAATAGCGCATCCTAATAGAGGATTAATATATCACCCCAAAAAAATATTCTATCCTTTAGCGGTACCCTCTTGATGCTAAAAGATTGTCCTCTTATATATGGCTCAAGAAAATATTCTACAACGTAGAGGAATATCGAATTACTATGAGAATTTATACTTGATTATAGCGCATGTGCCACTTCTTTTGTATAGCTGAGGAATATGTAAAATTTTTTTGCTTAGAGGAAATGCTTAAAGGAATTTCCCGCTTATAAGTAGAACATTTTTTTTGGGTGATGTACTAGATATATTATATAAAACAATTATCACAATTTTTACATTCGATTAACATACTCACCGTACGGTTTTGCAGAACGGAGTACTGAAGAGGCAATAGATGATTGGATTGGCGGCCGAATTGAGGGGCGTCAAACTTTGTATGAAGGTAGCGACTGCGATATTCGTCTGAGTCTTTGGCACATGCCCGTAAACTTGAAGGAGGTCGAAGACTATGTATGGACTCCAGCAAAGGATAAATACTGAAACACAGAGTCATTTTCGCTTACATCGCGTGAGTACTGTAATTTATGTCTCGCGCGTACTGCGTTAATTAACAGGGAATTCGCAGAAAGTATTAGGGCAAAAGTAGGAAAAAATGTGTATAATGTTTATCGTTATCATTATAGAAAATTGAACAAAAATAATCACTTTATTTTTAAATCAATAATTAAAACAGTATAACTTCACGATCCGGAATAAATCGTTTATGGAATAAATTAATTGATCTGGCAGAGCGCAACAATAATTGTAACGTCACTTTCAATAAATGCGATGCAAATAGAACGCGATTATTCACGCCGCTTTCAGTTGAGAATTACCATTTCTATCTTAAATTACGAGAGTACTATGAAAATCCTGACAAAGGGATAGTTTCAAGTTTGCGCCAATTTCATTCTAGATAACGAACCTAACGAACTTAAAACAATATACGAAACGCTCCATTTGTTTTTCTCTTTTGAAGACACGCTCTGATTTATATAACAACTTCCACTTTAGCATTAGCGATTTTTTCTACTTTTTTTTGGTGTAAGAGGAAAGCTTATAAAACTACAAAATTTTGAAGGCATCGAAAAAAAAATAATATAAAGAAATATTATTTACGGCATAGATTTATGCAACGAAATATAAAATATGTAATGGATTTTTCTCTGATATACATACGTATATCTCAATACGTTTAAGCAAACTGAAATAAATATTGGTTATGTAAAGAAATTATCACATACAAAATCATCTAATTTTATTTTTATTTAAGATAAAACAGACTATCATCAAGAATTTAACAAAAAATGGAATATGTAAAAAATGTATGCTTTTTTATATATTTGCAATATTAATATAAAATTTTAATTTTAGACTGCGTTAAAACTATCATAAAGTATCATTGTTAATACTACATTTATAATATTTATATAATGCTGTATATATTATCAGCATTATTAAGGATATTTTATCGCATGCGAATTTTACACTGCAATGTAAAATTAAATTTCCATGTTAACGTTATGAATATGTGAAAGCGCATATTAGATTTTTGACTTTAATTAATCTCCAAAATATCCTATTAAAACTTAACATGTCGTATACATAGATACATTTATCTTTAGAATTTTGTAATAATGTGTTTATTTTAAAGATTAATTAAAATCAATAATTTTAATAGGAAAACGTCGATATCAGATATTAAGATAAATGTTAGCCCGCAGGTAATAAGATGACGTTATTTGTCGTCATTTTCACATTAAAATGACACCTTTGACGATATTTTAACGTCAAAATGACGACAAATAACGTCAACTTGCTATCTGAGTCACAAATAATAGTTTTCATATTATCGAGCGATCAAATTTGGTATTACCGTGGAGTTCACACGCATTTACATCCATTGTTCTATTCTGTTATTAATTTCCATCACTCAACTAATTTCGTACGAACGGTTGTTCGACAATACATCAATCAGAGATAATATTAATTTATTAACGGTAAACTTAGGTTATTTGGTCTCTATTTTCTAATTGAGATTCTTACAATTAGTTCAAGGAATTAATTATTATCTTAACGTTATCTAACGTAACGCCAATAAATGTTGGAAGCGAAGCGCGTAATGCACGACGATAGCCCATTCATCGACCAGCTTCAAACTTAAGGGATAGATTGTATATTCGACGTGGTATTCTATTTAAAAAATAAACGCACAAACGCGCGCGTGACGCCTCGGCGAAAGTAACGGCTGGCCCGCGGCTTTGATAATTGTTTACGCACAGCGCGCTATCAAGGGCGTACAGGGTAAGGCCCGGAGCCGTCCACTTGCGTCGTCGTATCATTGCCGCTTCGGAAGGCGTACGAGACAAGCCCTGCGGCAAGACGCACTTCCTTTCTGTGACGATTAGCTATTATTATCTACCACGATTAATTTTTATGATCCATGAACGTATTGTATCTGAATGCCGGTTACTTTTACCGAGCATAGATACGTATGTAGGTAAAAATCGCGACGACAGGAACTACATATAACTGTTTCGTTATGGTATACACGGGCGGTAATTGTACCTTTAACACTTCGATTCGAGTGCGTAACTCGCGTTGCGCTTTGCGCTTCGAATTTTTCGATATTTGGAATTTACTCGCGTTTCAATCACTTCGGGATTGAAAGTGAGAAGTGCAGAGTCACCGAGTATGTACATATGTAACAACAATTCAGTGATACGAGAATTTATGAAGTGGCACGAGTTAAAGTTTTACAAGATCGTACTTTCTTCGCGTTTTTCTATCGTCGCAATATGACAAAGTGCGCATCGCGCGATTAACGTCAGGATTAATGTCGCATAAAACATCGCGCAATTATCTAATGATTAATGTGTGACCGTAATTTATCGTGTTTTCGCGAGTGTGTGCAGGAAACGAGAAGGAAAAACCCATAAGAGAAGAGGAGTAAGCTTGGGGAGGTATCAGGCAACGGCGGAGCAATCGTGGGGTAAGCATTTATTTGCATATTACTTGTAACTTGCGAGATTAGTCATTTGTTCCCCTTTATTTTTGTTAATTAACCGATTACTTGGATAACTCACGAAAAGAATTGGGAAAGGAAAAAACTCATGTCTATGAAATTATGTAAAAGTTTACTCTTAAGAGAAAAAAACATTTTTTCGAAAGTTATACAATTACTTTATGTTAAACATCCATTTAAAAGAAGAAAATCAACGCGTGAACAATATAATTATTTTTAACAATATAAATTTTTTTGAATGTTATAATTAACATTTTATATTTGCATTTTACAGATTAACGCAGTTACAACTCCGCCGTTGCGTATCGTATGAGTGAGTTAAATAAATTTTAAATTGAATGCTCTGGACCTATGAGAAAAATTATTATATATTTATATAAATATATATAAATATATATAAGTTAACTGTATTATATTTGGAATATAAAATATTATCAATAAATAAAGCTCATAGATTCATTGTATATTTAAGAAGCTCATAGATTCACTGTATATTTAAGAATGGAAGAGCTAAAAAGTGTATTAGAATTGCATAATATTTAATCCTGGAGTGCGTGAACATTTATCCGTAGATTTATTGTGCATATGGGGTGCGTGGGGGGTGTGCACTTGCACACATTTATTGACACATTCTGTATCTTACAGAATATTAATTATATATCAGTTGCCTGAAATTTATGGGTTAAACTTGCAAGCACATGAATACAGAAATAATAGAAAATATTTTACAGAGTGAGCTTAAGCAAAAAGAGACGATGATAAACGATGATAAAGTATTATTCGCATAAAAGAAAAGTTTTCAAATTTGATAAGAATGTCAGATCTATTGCACATTTTGCCAAACATATTCTATATATGTATAAAGAAAAAGTTTTTAGGAAACATAATTATATTTTATAGCTCATCCATTTTTATCTTTCAATTCAATATGTCATTATTATAGCTATAATATTTATCATATGTATATAGTTTCACGTAAGAAATTAAAAGATAAAACCATTTCAATAATAAAAACCAATTCTGTCATCGATGAAAATTAATAACATGATCGTACGTGTGCAATCATTATAGCTTTGATCGCTATAATTCGAAAACTATTATACTTTCGATATTTTCCTATTAAGAATTTTTTTATTTAAATTCTAACATACTCTAACTATAAAATCTATTAGAAAAATTCACAGTAGATATCGTAAGATGTTGCATGAATGATATAAATAATTTTATAGTTACACAAAAATTAATATTTAGGCGAAAAACGGCATTTTAGAAATTACTAAATTCTTGCTGCTTCAGCAACGAATCGATAAAAAGTATAAATTGATTCAATGTATTCATTTGCTTTTGACATCAGTGATTAAAAAAAAATATATGCAATTTAATATATTGAATTAATTATTTTGATCGATTCTTATGTCATAATAGCGGTAACATGTTGAACGTTACAAAAGCTCAAAATTTCTTCATAAACCTTCTTTTCTTTTGAGAACACTTTCGTATGGCTTCCGAGATATTAACAAACTATTATTTATTTTTAATCGTATAAAATAAATAACATTTCACATATTTTTTATTTTTTTCTCCGTTTAAAGCTGAAAAATTACATGTCTATCTGGTATAATTTCGTTAAGGAAAAGCCAATTTTAAATGTTTCAAACAACTTCTCGTGGAAATTAAAGTCCGAAGTTGTTAGAAAGTTTTATATTGATAGATACTATTCAGAACGAGATTCTTTCATTTTTCAATACATCCTTGACCAAAAAAGAAGTTAAAAAAGAATTGTTTGTACAACATCGATATTGGAAAAACTACGGACAGGAAAAAGTCGTTAAACGTGAGAATGGGTGAACATCTGACGCACGGTGAGATAACTTTTTAAAAAAAAAAAGCAAAGTAGTTTCAAAGCAGGTTCTCGCGGCTAATTCATTTTTCGTTTGAGAACGTTTGCACCTCTACTTTTCTCATAACTGCTAATGCATTAACGATTTGTAAATAAATAGAGCAACGATGTAATTATAGATTCCATTAATAATTCCGAAAATCTGCAGTCAATCTATGTATGTCCGATAGATCGATTTAAAAAGACAATCTAAAATGATCGAGAGAGAAGTTTGTATTGTTAATTTAAAGAAGGAATGGTCGTACTAGTAAAGTATTAGTTAAAAAAGCTCCTGAATTCTGCTTGAATCTGTGAAAAGCTTTTATAGAGTTGTATACGAAGAAATTTTTAAATCCGTTCCTTTAGCTCTTTTAAATCGATTTCCTGAATGGAAACTTCTCAACATAATTTTATATTTCTTAAGTTAAAAACTTGGCAAAGGTGGAGAAATAAAAAAGTATTTGCAAGTGAAATGCATGAGAAAAATGTAATATATTTCTTATGTATTGAATTTTTTGATAAATATAATTTTGGATGTGTATGTGTTTATGGCTTATTAAAGGCATGTTGTTAGCAATAGAATTTTATTAATTGAATATAATTGTTAAATTTATTAATATGTGAAATTTTTGCGTACTTGGAATTTTAACAGCATAATCTTTCAAGGTTTCTCTCAATAGAAAATTTTTGGTAAAAATATTTTATAAAATATATTCTCGCATATCTTTACGCTTTATTGAATTAGAACACTGCGTGTGGTATTTTTCATCGTGTGTTACCGGTGATTTGACAACCGATAAATTCGATTAAACATGAATCGAACGACTTGTTCGATTCGTCATTCGCGATGAGTGAGCATCATTTTAATAACCGATCAGAACGAATAAAACGTTACGAAAGGAAGCGATGAATGATTGCATTGTGCGTCTCCCTCATAAATGATGAATAACCATATCTGTCATTTCGAGAGCGAGGATATTATTGGCGTACGAATATAATACGTACGTTAGGAAGTTCTTTGATCCAACATACCGATTTTATTAGCGGTTTCAAAATGAGCAATCAAAAGAAAGTTTATCTCGTTACTTTATTTTTATCGTAAACTTTGTTTTCCAAGAATTTTGTAAATGCCGGAGTAAAACTAACATAGAAATATAAACATATAATTTTTTCACATAGAGCGTAAAAGTTTGATTAAAAATACGTGTACCTATGTTTTATTTTTATTTAATAAAATTTCTTATTACGCGCGTACTTTAAAAAAGGAAGAGAGAAGCATTTTATGCCAACGTAATTATAATAAAATATTAAAACTATTGCTAGATAACATTATTAATTTTGCTATTAGTGCTAAGAAAATAATAGTAAATAGTTATGTGTATATTAATAAATATGAGATATTTTTTTATTTCGCGATTAAATGGAATTTCTCGATTAAATAGGATTTCTCGATATATGGAAATATATATGGGCCCTTTATTTCGAGGCGTGAAAGAGCCAGACCAAAATTAGATGTTTTTTCGCCCCTTTTCTGGACCTTTAATTTTGAAGCAAATTTGGTGCCAAATGATTAGTCATGATGAGACAATAATCGCATAAAATTTTTGAGTTGAGTATATGACTAGTTTGCGAAATATAAGGAGTCAAAGTTGTGCCAATCCTGATTCCTGGCGCGCGTTTTTGAAGGAACGAGTACACGTGCAAAAAGAACTCATCGATGTTCTATGATCACGATTATTAAAACGTTATTGATATGATATCAGGGGAACAAATAATTCATGATCAAGAATTACTAAAGAAAAAGCGCGATTGTTTCGATTAGAGATAAGCCTCAATCATAAAAGTTTTATAGATCAAAATAACTACAATTACAATATATGTATAATGTGTGTTTACGTATAGATACACTCATATCATAGTCTGTTTCGATCATGTATCTACAATCAAAATGATCGTTTCGTCAGAAACTTTATATGTATGTTTTTACGAAATAACTTCATACTGAGATTCCGCATGCCAAGACTGATGGCACTATAAAAAGTGTTATAGATACGGTTTATGAGAACATTTATTTAAGATTCAAATCATACACATGCAAAACTAATAAAATATCTGTCTTTAAATAGCTTTTAAAAAAAGATTCTCTGTAGATAAGCTCTTTTTATGAGATTATTCTGACATTATTGTAATTGTTTTTGTATGAAATGTCCATTATTTATTAATTACCGAACGGATCAAATTAATAAATCTGAAGATGGTTTCATTGTTCGTGAAATAATTGAATAGATTTTATATCTTTTATTTGTATTTTATTAATTATATTTAATTTAGCTCGTTTCTCACGGATACTTCGTAATCTTCGTATATACGATATCTTTTTTCTTTGCACGATTACAAGGATATCGAATAGCAAGCGCATTTGCTTATCTCCTTGTGGCGCGTTCTTTTACGCCGCGCAAATAAAACGGTTCACCAATTTCGTATCAAAGACACATAGGGAGAAGCTGGATAGAAACTTATTACATTTTATTGTCGCGAAGTAGACGCCACCGTCTTTCCGTTATTGTCTACGAAAGTACTCGTGTACGTCAAAGGAAGAAAAATAAAGAAAAGTCCGTACCTCAAAAGCAGAGATATATATCGCAGTTTGCCGGGACCTAAAACGCTTTCTTTATATCTATACGAATTGATGAAGGAGTAACGGGAGTAACGTAAAATTACTGCGCCAGACGCCGTAGTATAACTTTACGAACGCTGAAGAGACTTACGTAAATATTTGATTGAAAAGATTTTTTTGTAAATCTGAATCCCCTTTAAAGCGAATCTTAATACGACGTGATGGAACTTAAAATCGCTTTCTGTGGCACGATTATTTCTGCCGCTTGATTTAATCACGCAATTTTTTCAGGCAAATTTGATCAAAAAATTGTCTATTTCTCGTAAAGATACTCTTTAATCATTTACGATCGTTAACTATAGATAATATCGTGTTTTAAGAACAATAGTTTACATTCATATACATTTCTATGTGAATCGTGGTTTGTGTATCTTACCGAATACTATGACGAAGGTCATTTTTACGGTCTTGATTTTCGCTCTGGGAATGAGACCTCTCGAGGACGCCCTCCGAGTATCTCTGGTAGGTCCCTGACGTAACGCTGATCCTTGCGACCATATCGTGACCACGATGACCGTGTAACAGCCCCCTATTATCACGGTAGGCGCTATAAAGAGGCTGAAACTCACCAGGCTCATGTAGATCTTCCACTGAGTCGGGCTCAAATCAATCCAGCACTGCGTCGTATCCTACAAAATTGTATGAAACGCTCGCTTGCAATTAATTGTAATTATTCATCTTGTGAGCGCCAAGCTTTCAAACTTTTATCATTAGTTCTTTCCGGATTGTGCATAACGTCGACGCTTTATCAAGCAAAATACATTATTTTCTTTATAGCGCCTGGAAGACTGCACGATCTTCAAAAGTGCAAGAGCATGTATAATTATAGAAAATTGTAAGAAAATTGAAGATAACTTTTTCTTCAACAAAAATGTAAGGAAATGCAAAATATTTTTCTAAATCGCTTTGGCATTTAAGAGATTGAAATGATAAAAATAATAATCGAGGAATTAAAATTAAGGATGTTCTGGCTATACAATCCCAGACAAAAGTTACTGAAATATGAAATTGATGAAATTCTATGCTTTTGTAGATTAAGATATGCACCAAATCGTGTAATTCGTATTGTGTAAAGGACTTAAATAATATCAGTTAATATATTTGGCACTACAAATGAATATATTTGTATATTTTACAAGTTTTGTGATTGTCGGCAAAACAATTTTGGACTTGAATTTCACGTCCAAAAATTTTTTGCCGACAATTACAAAACTTGTAAAATATACAAATATATTCATTTGTAGTGCCAAATATCATATTAACTGGCATTGTTTAAGTCCTTTACACGATACGAGCACGATATGGTGCGTATCTTAATCTATAAAAGCATAGAATATCATAAATTTCATATTTCAGCAACTTTTGGCTGTATAGCCAGAACATCCTTAACACAAGAAGATACGCGTGTATACCTGTATTCGTTTCTCTTCGTACAGGAATATGATCGGCATGCTGAACAATGCTGACAGCGCCCAGGCCGTAATCACCAATGCACGAGCTCTCCACCCTGCGATCAAATATAACGTCTGTCAGTTGTTATATCTGACAGATTATAGTTCAAATTTCGTGATCAATTAGTAAATAGATACCATGTTTTGCGCTCAACGGGTATTAAAAGCGGAATTTTTATTTTATAAATTTGTTTTTTTCGACATAAACATATCTTTTTGTGGGAACCAAAAAGCGAGCGTGCAGCGCAACTTTGAACGCGGCGTATGAAAGAAACGTTACAGCATTTTCATGAATGTCGAGTTTTACGTCAACCGGAAAAAACAAGAAGGAAACGCCGTATAGCGGACACGGAGCTCATGACGGGTCGCGGAACCGGTTTGAAAAATCGAGACGAAAATGTCTGCATTACTGCTATAATAGGCTTGAAACCTAAAACGGTATTGTATAGTACGATATGACATGATTACAACATATACCGCGTCGTTTATTTGGCTTCCCGGAGCAACACGGGGAATGATGTATACGCGGTTTTGTATTACGACATGTTATCGTTATCCTCATGAGCGTCGTTTATTCCGTTATTTTCAACAATGTGTAATTAGTATAAAGTCAGCAATTTTTCTTGGCTTGAGATATAAAAAGACCGATATGAAAAGATGTTAAAGATATATTGTATCGGCACAAGTCCATTAATCCTGATGCTAGTATAATTACAGTGTGCAATTGATAATTATAATTTGTCGGTAATTGAACGAATAATCACGTATAGAAATTCATAAACGTGATGGGAGGTATAGTTAAAGCAAATCCGGTGGATTTAATACTGCGACAGTCCCGCGATTTAATCACGTTTTCTCGTGTCTCTTAATACTAATGTCATAGACATTTTAATCTCCGTTTAATGACATTGAGGTGTAACAAGCGAATGGGCTGTTACGTCATCAACGGACTTAATCTTACTGTTACTCTCTTTGAAAACCTAATTAGAATCGTAATTAAAACTTGAACGGATTAATAGAGAGCGCGTTTAAAAGTATTCAAAGTAATCATCCGTTTCACACACATTTCGTTTATTAAACATTACTCTTTTAGAGTTATATCTCGTATATATCTTTAATAACGCAAGTATAAACGCGCGAGTATATCGCGCGTTTTTATGGCGCGGCGTGATTTAAACTTTTTTTTTTCCTAAGCAAGTTGGGATCTGTTTTAATTTACACCGACATCCGCGGTCCGTGTAATATCGGAGATCGGGCTAATGGCGGAGATAATACTCTCGTATTAATCCGCCGGTGATGGAGTGCCGTGCGACGGTACGAGGGCGCGCGCGTGATTGCGGTATAGTATAGTGCAGATTCAGACACCTACTAATTTCTGTAATTCTGGCTATCGACAAGCCACGGGAACATCGAGTGTATAGAGTAGGCGGGAGATAAATTTTATTCTCCGACGCGGAATATACCCGCCGCGCAGAGCAACGATTCGTGAGATGCCTCCGCGTGATAGACGATACGACGAAGCAGAAAGATAAGAGAATCGGCGACACTGTCTTCTTTTTTTTCCCCCTGTCCTGACTTTATCTTCTTGTCGCAAAAAGGAGAAGCCAATAAAAAAAAAAAGGAAAGGGGATGAGACATGCGCGATCGATGTCAGAGCATGGCATATTAATTCTGAAAGGAACTGTGGCGGAGATATTACGTCACAGATCATGGAATAATCTGGCCATCAACATTGATGCACGTTTATCCGCTACCGCGCGGTATCGCGAGTGCTTAAGATATGTCCAAAGGATAGATCGACTTTTATTACTTAACAACTCTCTCATAAGTAGTTTCGCGAGTATTATATTAGATAGACGCGTAGCGTATATGGTAATTCCGATATATACGCCGCATTTATTAAAAACTTAATTAATTTATCAGGTATTATTAATTATTTACCTATTAAAAACTTAATTAATTTATAAGGTATTATTAATTATGGTTAAGGTAAATGAACTATACCAGTAAAAACTTTAGACTGTCTATTAATTTATGAAAAAAAATATTAGGAATCTAAAATATTTATTTTTTTATATTAAAAAAAATTCTTTAAACCCTTGCATTTTTGTCGTATAAAAATATGGGTGGATTATACGGTTACTCACGGGTGGAATGAATGACTCAAAAAATATACAAATAATCTAAAAGAGCTAAGCAGAGCACTTGTATTTTGCTATACTCTATCCTTTACAATTCCTCGCTACACTTACGTACCACGAAATAACCACAAAGCCTTTTATATTTCCTACATTAATCATTTTATGTAGATTATATCTTGTGGTTGAGCTATTTATTACAGTGATAAATCGATTTAACTTACAATAATTTTATAAATATTAAGAAACTGAAATCACAAGACAATATTAATAACATAAAGATATGTAACAGTGGTTGCGAGAAAATTACTTTCACTTCTTCTATTTGTTCTGTTTTCTGCGGCATAAATCCTCGAGCGGCGTATATACCGTGGAGTTACCCTAAGCGCAGTCAAAGCAATTCCTTGACAGAATATACGTAAAATAAAATAGAGTGGAATGGAGGAATGCAAAGGATGTCAAAGTGATATAAAGGCGAGGATAGGTGCACTCCACCGTGGCACGACCGTGCGGTGAATTGCATTCAGTGTGTCGGCTGGCAGACACCGGTAAATAGTCTTTGACTTACTATGAGCAGCACTCGAAGCCGCATATTGACACATCAGAAATAAATTCGCTAGCATTTGTGATTAGATTGGCGTGAAAACGACTGATACTATTTTAGTTCTTCGCTAATTATAGAATATTTATATTCTTGTTTCTCGATCGTTATACATTGCTTCAAAAAGCTAATTTTTTTTGTTAATTTAATATCATTTCTGATAACTTTTTTTAAAATTTAAAATAATTAATTTTCTCCTTTTAATATATTTTATTCGGTATGCAAGATTCTCCAGAAATTATCTTTCCTCATAAAATCTCTTTTATGAAATTTACATGGTTCTGTAACATAGTTTATCATTACGTTGAGCTGCCAAGCATTTTTCTTCCTTCTCTTTCCCTCTTTACTTTAATGTAGTTAAAAATTTCCGCCCGAAGGTAATCTTTTGACATCAACACTAAAGACACCATTCATGTCTCGAATCTCGCTATGCATATATTCTATAGAGTTTCAAGTGAACTGTATTAATGAGTTTAGCCCGACGATGTCGCGCGCTTTGTAAAGGGATCCAACATTAATGGCCGTGATCATAATGTGCGCTAATGTACTCACAGCTGCCGGAGAAGTTCATCGGACGGGTAATGGCGTCGTATCTGTCGATTGATAGAGCCACGAGGACGTAGGTCGAGCTGTAGGTTACTACACACTGCATGAACCTTATCAGCTTGCAAGCTACATTGCCCGCGTACCACGCGACAGTCGTTCTCCAGATTATGTCTGTCAGTACAGATATTAGGCCGACCATCAGATCTGCAACAGGATATGTACGACGACGAATTGTGATATACCGTTTGTGTGAATGGAGAATACTAATTATCAGGGTTATCAGTTAACGGGGCTTCTCGATATTTCGCAGTCCTTGATATTATCCGAGGTCGCCAGGTGTACGTAATACCTCGATACATTCATTGATATTCCGGAGAATCTCTTCGTTCGAAAATTACACAGAAAGATAGAATCTACCTTGAGCATTTTATCTTATCTCTTTATTGTTACAGCAATTAGTTTATATTACTCGCAGAAATTCGCCAACATTTTTGTTAGAAAGAATATAAACTTTGATATTATAACAAATAATATAAATATATATTAAATCATTACACGAATTATGAAGTTTAATGTAGAATATCGAGCGTGGGATTTTTGTAACCGTAGAGAGACGCCGCGCGACTCTTAATTAACTCGTGAAGGCGTTTATGGAATAACATCTTTAACCGCGAAATAAACCCCAGGAGATACGTGATCGGTTTATAGCTCGTTTCGATACTTTACGTCGCGTCGCTCTGCATTCACGCACGATTAAAAACTATTAATGCGGAACGTAAAATAAGATCGAACGTTACGTAATAATGCATTGATAATTTCGGTGTTTCTGCGCGCTGCGATATCCGTATCGTAAACGTCGCAATAATAAGAAATTATTTCCAAGCAGCGTGCATTTTTTTCATTAAGACGTAATCATGTATGTTCTGTAACGTTTTATATCGCTTTTAAGTATTATCCGAAGTAAAATATGAGAGTATAAAAGTAAGAATAACATATACGGGATCTTTAGATTCATTTTATTTATTACTTTTTAAATAATATTATAATATCCATTTTGAAATATATAGATTCTTATATGCGGATTAGGGGATGATTGGAGGGAATTTATTTATTAGTATAGATAGCATGATGGATTTATGAAACAGATTTGAATTGTAGCATTCCTAAAAGTACGTGCGTGCAATACGTTTACGATATTTTGCAGAACAGATTCTTTAATAACAACTTCACAAAGTGTATTATCGAGGCTTTACAGGATTGCTCTCGGCCCGATCGTAAAAACCCTCGGAAAAGCGAGGGTGCACAGCTTCAATCCCACTAGTTCTCCAAATAAACCAGATTCATCCCCCTTACTTTTGTCGCTCATATTTTATCAATGAAATAAAAATTCAATTGCGCGCCCTCGCGCTACTCGATAACACCGGTCGCGATATTAATGTCGAAATTGAAAGTCCAAAGTTGTGGAATAATTGCTTCCAGTGTACACGCCAGACACAAATTAAAGCAGAAAGCAGTCTTTAATCATTATATACACGCACTAAACACAGCATAATATATAAAGCAAAATATTTATTATTTCTATAATAAATAAATATATATATATATTATTTCATAATACATATTAGTTATATTAGTTCTACATATTAAAATTATTAAATGACTGATGTATTATTTTATCAAAAATATAGGCTTTCTTGTTTACAATTTTTATGATTCAAAACGTTTCGAATTATACAGGAAGGATGGTTTTAATGCGAAATTTAAATTATTTCTTTATTTATAACGTTTATAATGTGTAGAATTTTTGTAGAAGTATATGTTTTATGCAATGTAGTAAATATAAGTCTTCGCGTATTTATAACCGCACATTCAACATCGTAATGCTGCTAAGCAATTTTTAAGATATCCGCTAGTAAAAGGACATTCTGAATGAAATTTCCGGAATACATATTTTCCATTTACGAAAATATTTCTTAGAAATGATCAAATTTGTTCGATTTAATGGTTGCACTTTAAAAAATTCCGATATATTTTCGATTTAAACCGTTTCAGATTGAACGTTGAAATTCTTTAATATTTTTGTACTCCATAACTTGTAATCGGATTTTTTACCTTTTTTCAAATTTTCTTTGTCAATCAATGAAACTCATGTCCCATTTTAGGCGACTGGTTGAAAAAAAAATTTTATTATTTAAAAATACATTCTCATTAATTTAACATTCTCTTTATTTGTCGATACACTGAAACAATAATTAGCATAATAAAAACAACGCAAAATAAGGATTTAAAATATTGTTGAATATTTTTGCTAAAGAAAAACCATATTTCTAAAAAAAATACGCGTCTCAAAAAAATTTCAAATATCTTTTCTTTTAATTTTATAAATGTATTATTAAAATAACACATTGTTATATTATCAATGAATTAAGAATGTCCTTTATCACGTCCAAATCTTCTTGCTCATTGAGAGATTCGTGTTATATCTATTTGCTCCGTGCATAATTGATTTCTCGTAAAAATGAAGACGAAGATGGGAAAAGAAGATGGAATTATAATTTTACTATCCATTAACGAAGCTTTATCGTTTCTTCGATAACTTAGCTTACGAATATAATAAGATCGCAAATAAAAATGCCGATGATAAAGTTTATGAATTAGGCAACTAATTTAATAGCTGTTTGTTAATTGACACTTGAAAACAGTTTCTATAAAGTTTAGAAATAAAATTTTTAACAGGAATTAGATATCTATATTTTTATTTTAAAATTTAAAAATTATAACATATTTTTGCAGATAAAACTTTATTAAACAAGAGTTTTCATACAAGACAGCAACAAAATCTGAATGGTAAAAATAGTTCCTGCATAAATATTATTAATTATATATTATTAGAATATAGATATATGATCACTTGTTATTATAACATACATAAACAGAAATTGTGGAGGTTTTTAAAAGTGAAATAAAAACTTTATGCATTTACATATATTATTTTTTACATTTTATACACATTAGATTGGTCAGAAAGTCTTTTCGTATTTTCGCCAAGTAAGGCGACTCAAAATACGAAAAGATTTTCTGACCAAACTACATATTATATATTGTATCAGATATTTTTAAAAGCATAGTTTCTCTCACAAGCACATTTGACATTTTTCTCGCACAAGAATAAAATATCGTTTTTATAGAGCCTCTTTCCTTGGAATAGCGATGTTGCACGTCTATCGCGAAACACGTATAGTAACACTCGCTGTCGGAAATGTTCCTATAGGTATCTTTAAATCCAGCTTGATTGGAAAAGCCATTTTCTAGACTGTGCATAACATTTCTATGGTGCTCCTCGTCGCTGAATCAATACTACATGATATTTTTTATTATTATTTGTTATACAAACAAAAATTTTCGTTATATAATTAGATAACCAATTAAGATCTTTATTTTCAAATTAGTTATAGTATCAATCCTTAAATAAATATACTATAATTTAAGAAGTATATCTTATATCTTCTAACACATTGTGTTATAAAAACAAACATTTTAATTTTAAATACATATTTTATACTAATTTTTTATATATTTTGAAATAAAAAGATTAATTTATTACTAGTTAACTACTCTGTTGTTTTTTTAATAATAATTTAATTATTTTTATTTACGCATAAATATTATTTCCAACAACGTTTATATGCAGTATAAACTACTTAAAATATATTTTTGATTACTCTTGATTTTAAAACATTAAATTATTGGTATACAATGTTTACTTTACTTTAAAATGTTTTCAAGTATCGCCAACGTCTTGTGATATGTCTGTTTTAAAATGCATACTTTTTCTCAGAATTTTCTGCGTGATATGTTATTTTATGCTGTGCCATATAAAAGATATTCTTCCTCTTCCATCTCGCTAGACATTAACTTAAATATATTGCTTTCAAGTTCGTATAATTTATTACGTGAATAATACAAGAAAGATGGACAGAGCATTAGCTGTTATATAATACCAAGATATTTTATGGAAACGTGATAGGAATAATACAATATATATGTGACAGACCCCGACTGCGTTTTCATATATTTAAAAAAAAAACGCGATATACTTTAAATTATAAAAATTAAATTCTGTCGTATACGCCTAGGGATATATAGAAACGCTATATATAAAAACGTTACCAAAGAACAGTAAATAAAGACGATCTATTTCTTTTACTTTATTGCATGCTTTCTGACGCAAGTACGAATATGGGCACGTATGGTTGGTTCAATATCTTTTATCGACGAGCATATGTGAACAATAAATTTCCTTATTGAACGTTCCAAATGTGATTTATATTATACCAATTTCTCATATAGAAATATCAACAAGTCCTTGCATTAGATTACTTTCGTTATTTATGATTAGCGTATAAAATATATTTTTACATAGTTCGCAAAATTTATACAGATATTAAAAACTGATATAATATTTAATCAGTCATCGATTGTAGCAATGTGATTACAAAGAGAATACATTTTTATTGATGTCTTCGCGTTTGTGAGTAAAAATACATATATACACATCTGCGATCAATACATGCAAATGTATAGCCAGCATTGAAATACGAGAAAATCTTACGTCACATGCGTACGTATCGTTCGTTTCCGATATTCCGTACATAAAGATACGTCAGCGGGAAAAGAAAAAGGAATGTTTATCTATAAAACGTGTACATGAAAGAGGCTGTGCTATCGTATTCTCAAAGCCTGAATTACAGATACATCCGAGAGCGAAGGTTTGAGGAGAAAATGTAACAGTCTATCCACTATTCTCGTTCGGGTAAACATCGACGACGCGAAAATGAAACAAAGTTACAATAGTGATCTCTTGTTATTACAATAAAACCATGTTATTATCTTCTCTGGCTCCATTGATCGTACAAAAAGTTTTACAAACGTGTAACGTTGATACACATAATGAAATTCTAATTTGAAGCTGATGTATTCTCACAAAAGGTATCGAGGCGTTAAAACTTTCTTAATTACACGCTATTAAAAATAAAGACACTTACCGGCAAATGCCAGTTGCATGATGAAGAAATTCATCCGAGATTTTCTACGTTTTCCCAGCAGAAGTCCGGCGAGGACCGCGGTATTACCGGCGACTATTACTGCAAATAGTAGCCATAGTACCGCAAATTGCTCCGTCTATAAGAAGGAAAGCGTTTCTCTTATCTCTGTGAAATTAGCGGCTTTACTTCTAATTTAGTTGACAGAATTCTAGCTTTTTCCCAAAGTGTTGGATATTGAATACATTGTAAAAAGAATTTTTAAAAATAAATATAAAAAATAAAGAATCTGATAGTATATATATACATATATGAGGCGTTGATTTAGCTTTTATTGTACAAAAATTGATAATAAGTCTTTTAGTTTAATTGAGATTCGAGCAATTCCTATTTAATTATTTAAGCATCTAATTATTTTATTTAAAATCTTTTTAAAACTCATCGAGATATTTCTTTCTCTTGTTTTTCTCTCCAAAACTTTGGGAAAGAGCTAAGATTCAATCAATTTATATATCTAAACTGTGAAAATGGATTTTTCATTACAAAGCCTATTCAAAAGATTTAAATTATTTTTTTTAATTAAACCTAATTATTTAAATTATTCAGATATTCTGCAAATTTTTCTATATGTATATTATAAACTCGGCATATAAAATCACAATTCTCCACAGTAAATGCAAATCTCTATAAATAACATAATAACAAAAATTTATATGCATATACACTGCAGTTTACGTGCATTATGATTGTATTTGTATATAGCTTGAATGTCGATATAACGAATTGTTATTTAATAATTTACCCGGGTAAAGTTAATTTGACGGTTAGTTCGATAGATAACGTTTCGCTATATGTTGCATGCTATGCGTAACGAGAGAAACGTGTGAGTGTTAATTTCCACATCGTTTGCATGATGCACGCAATGCTTTACCAATAGCAAACTAATTTGCTCGATCATAGACGCGGCTGATATGATACACAACGTGATTTTACGAGAACCAGAGTGTTCCATACGGATAACCAGAGTGTATCCCTTTGTAAGCCTTTAATGCGATTTCACGCTTATGCGTTTTGTTTTCATAGTAATAACAAAATCAGTTGCAATAAATTTCAAATATTCCTGGATACCCAAGTTGTGTGTCGACCGAAATGTTAATCAATCTTTAATCTCTTTTTTAAATCTCTCAATTAAAATTATTTTAAGGTCTTAACATTTTCCAAGTATTTATTATTTTTATAAAATTTTATTTTACTTTACAACGTAAAAGAGAAAGTATGCTGTTTTTTTAATAGATACAAATAACGGAGTAATTAAAAAAAAATCCATTAAATTGATATTGAAAGCAACATCTTCAATTGAAAAAATGGATGGTATATAACAATAAATTAATTAATTAAATTTAACGATTGTGCGGAGGTCGCATTTATTGATAATGCCATTCAAATATCACGATCTGCAATGCAATGTGGGTTGGGAATGTAACCTGAATCTAATTATTTTAGCTTGGAGCACAAACAAAGACAATCACAGCAATAAAGGCAATTGCAAATTAAGATAATTTATCAAATTACTTTCAAGAAAAATAGATAGTATAATGAATTCACCTAGATATATGTGTGTAACACATTGAGAACAACTACCTTATTTTAGTATCTTTTTATTTTGCTTAAAAGAAAAAATAAATACAGTATCTTATTAAATAATACAATAATTCCATTAAATTAATGCCTTAACATCATTTAATATTAATAAAATATTAATATTTTATTAATGTTATATTAAATATATTAGAATAATATTATTAATAATATTTCACTATTTCCTATAAAAATGAAATAATAAAATAATTAAATGTGACTAAATTATATAATATGAGATTTTTACAGAATGATATACATATCCTTTTTCTGTTATATACATTATACATTAATTAAAGGTAATTGGATTGGAACTGATAATCTGTCTCTTATTATCGTGAATTATTTTATGGATAAAATTTGTACGCACGGAAAAGAACTTTTGTTTTCTTGCGTCTAGTCTATCACGACATGGATTGCGCCTTTCGGTTCGAGAGAATTTACCGCATTGGTATTTCTTTCCGAATGGGTGTGTGAATTACTTTGGTATCTAGCCATCGGGCGAGAAAATGTCGCCGAATCGACGAAAATCGTTGACCACAGAGCTACGTATCCCATTCGTCTCCCTCTGTGTTTTTTCTCCGCACTCAGCACTAAATCTATGTTTCTGTTCCGCAAACTGCGAACTATGAAAGAGAGTTATACGACGGCCGATTTAGGTCAACCGATCTCGCCGGGACTCGCGTATCGAATATGATACCGAAGCGTCCGCGAGTTTATCCATATGTAGATTGTTATCCATTTGCTTGTGACTAATTCTTAAATCCACCAATAAGCTTTACAAAGTCGTTCGAATGCAGCATACATAAAATAGCATGTTTTACACGAAAACTCCGAAAAAGTAAAACTTTATTTAACTTTATATGTACATATATATTAAACAGAAAAGCAAAAATCTTAGAAAAACAAAGGTTATAATGGATTACCCTTAAAAGTTGTAAGTTAATTATATTTATGATATTTAAATTTTTTATAACATATCTGTCTATATAATGTTTATTACATAATTTGTAAATTGATTAACAACGTGATGTTCCAATTGTTTCTTAAAGTATTTGCAGATAAATATTTGTCGAATTGGTTGGAGATTAAAGTTAACAACAATTTTATTGGATGACAAGGAAAAAGTACAGTCGAAAAGTCAATAAAATTTCGTCAATAAAACTGACGAAAAAGACGTTTACAAACAAGTCAAAAATAGTTTTTACAATGTAATAGAAAGCATTGTACGCGTTGTTTGTTGAAAATATTTTCCATTGCGAATAGATTTCGAGATTTTATGATATTTCAGGACCTTGCATTCCGCATATTATTCGTAATTCATTTAAAAATATATATATTTGATGGGTTTTGTGATGGGAATACGAATAACCTCCCAATTCTTGGTGATTTCTGATAATAAATATTAAACTTTAAATGTACATATATATGTGCTTTAGATTAGAATAGAGGATATATTCTCCAGTATCACTATTAAGAATTATTTGTTCTAAATAATCGAATTGAACAAAGGAAATTCTATGTTACAGTTGTAACAGAATTGATTTTATCCTGCCAGAGCTCTTAATTGTTTTCGCAAACGCTTGTGCAAAGTGTTACAGAATCTATAGATATCCGTGCGTTTTACGTACTCCGTGTGCACTACTGTGCTATCGTTCATAAACTATCGATGCTTCGATATGATCGATGCTCGCGGCGTCGCGTCAATTCAATTCGATTCGCGGGTACCAGCGGCAATAGTGCGGGAGAAAGTGGCACAATGTCTCGAATATCATGCAGGTACATCGCGGATCGCGCGGATTCTCCGTTCGTATCCGGTCTCCGCGTCGCTTTCCGGTTCCGAATGCGAAACGCAATTACTCATGTCACCCGCAAGCTCGATATCGATCGTCCGATAAAGTTGATTCCGAGTTCGTCGGGCGCGAGATTCGCATGCAAAGTTTTGCACCGCGACCGCGGCCCACAGTTACACTACTCGCTATCATTCTCTACGGTATATTACTGCATTACTGGACTGGAAATGCAAAATGCGCAAGAGAAATAGTTTTGAGCCGAGCGAAATGAAAGCTCCATATTATTACACCAAATATCGCAATTAAATTTATAAATCTTATAATTGTATAGTTAAATTAGTATCGAGAGAATCATTAAAAATTAAACGATTGCTTTAAATAATTATGTAACGTCAAATAATTCTTATGTTATCAAATATTTTTCTGTTATTTTTGCATTCATATATATATATATATATATATATATATATATATATGTGCTTTTTAATGTGGAACTTTAAATTTTATTTTAAAACTTGAAAATTTGTTTTCTCAAGTACATCCTTTTTGTATGATTATACACAGCTACATAAATAATTAAAACATCAAAAAATATGTATTTGACACTATATTAGATACAACGTACACATTCCAATTGCTAATAAGATTAAAGAAAGATTTAATTTCATGTGTCCGCATATTATCGTAATATAAAGAATTTTTTACAGAAATTACGCAAAAAATATTCTCGGCAATTTGCATCGTTTTACATTCCAGCCGATTTATCGTCGCGAGTCGTGCATGAGACCACTTTAGTCACGCATATGCATGCATCCGTCGTGTATGGCAAAGCTGCCACCGATCGCCGGGCAATTGTTTATTGCTTGTATGACCGGGGGGCGCGAATGGAATCGCGTGACTTGCAAGACGGCGTTTGTCGGAAGCGCTCGAGCAAGAAGTTTGATGAACGATAGAAATTGATAGCGCACGCACGGGACGGATTTGCGAACACGCTGCCGGGCGGTTACACGATTTCATTCTGGCCATCGAAACTGACGCGATAATGAGTTCGATAACTACTACAACTTGTAATTAGAATGAAGTTAATCTAACTTGAAAAACAAGCTAGATATGTTTGAACATCAAATTTGATCGTCCTTCAAAGGATATTTAAATTGTCCTTAAAAGGATTAAATTATTATGTAATATCGTGCAATACAGTAATTTGATAGCTCTACGTTGTAGTAAACTGTATTTTTAAATGTTCCCGCACTTCATTTTTATTATTAAATTTAAATAGAGACCCTGCTTCAAATTATACCTCTATGAAAGGCCACGAAAAATTTTATTTTAGCTCAAGGCTCTCAATCGCTCAGCTTGGTATTTGTGGGCTGTATTAATCATACGCGTCTTTTTATTTAGTTGAACATGCATTTTGATAGATTACGTAAAAATGTTGACGAATAATTTTCTTAAGAACATTATGAATAAAATATTATATTAAGATAATATGTGTTGGACATGTGTATAGTAACATGTCTATATATACATAGGCAATACATAGAAAGTCTTATCTTAACGTCAGTAATAATAATCGTCAATAATAATGGAGAGTTTAAAATATAACGAAAAATTAAGTATCGTCTCTTTCTCTCTCTTAGTTTTTAGTCCAAAGACCATTTTGACTTGATGCGCATATCACTTTATGCGTCTATTTGAATATGCACTTTGACCACGTGAAAACATGAAATTGTATTCTCTTGGGAGCAATTTGAATATTA